CCCCAAAACCCCAAAACCCCAAAACCCCAAAACCCCAGTTTATGAAGAAAGAATTGAAAGCTAATTTTGCATAAATATTGCCATAAAATATAAAAAATCTTTCATGGAGGTTATCTTCAGACCTCCTTCAAGTATTCCAAGACTACATCAAAGCCAAAGAGGCCATGAAGGATGAAGACTAGCCCTCAGAATTTTGTATAGAAGCCAGGATGGTTATTCCCCATATTTTACCATGCCAAAGCTTTAAAATTCATTGACAAAGCCTGGATTTTAAGTTTTGATTGGACAGTCTACCATTTTAAAAAGTCTGAGATTTAAGTGGCAGTGATGCATCCTTATTCATTTTCTTTCTTTTTAAAGCCTAAAATCTTCTTCAGTTTTGTGATGTAGCTTGGGCCAAACCCTTTGAATTTAAGGAGCAAGATATTATTTGAGATAAAGTTTTGGAGTAGCAAACTTGTTTAGTATATAAATAATAACTATTTCTCGTGAGCTCTGGAATCGACTCATGAGGTTATTAATAACAGTCTTCTTGTGTTTAGAAATTATTGAGAGCTGGCCTTGATCGATCTGATTGCTATAACCATCACTTGAAATTTCTTGACTCTCTTTGCTTTACATATCTTTTAAGCTTCTATTGAAGTAAACTTCTATTTGAATTATGCAGATATCAAGTTTTACCAAGGTCAAGATTTGGTTGGTGTTCAAAGCTAGGGTCCAAGAGTTTATCATCTTATAATATTCATCGTGAGACAAACCTGGGTAGGTGGCAATGTTGGACAGCTTTATGTCTCAACAATTGATTTTCTTCCTCTAGTTTTCTAACCTAGTCAATGTAAGCAGAGTCTTTATTATAGTTCTAAGAGGTCCTGAAAAGGTTAAGTTTTTCTATTACTTTGATGACTGGAAGAAACCGGAATCATAAGAAGAACCTGATTCAAAAAGATTCATGCTGTATGCATAAGCTTTAGATGTGGCATCCCATGGCGAGCGGAGATGAACAGATTGAAGGATACTCATCATTATTCCCATGTAAGTGCAATAGCTTCATCATAAATTTAGCATATTCCATGGCCAACCAGAGATAGAAGTTCAGATGTCTGAAAATAAGGGTGGAATATATACAAAGATTGACCTCTGCTACAAAAAAATTGATACCTATGTCTTAGTTCCTGAGAATTTTGGAGATTTGCCTTTAAAGAAAAATCACAGATTTTTCTCCTCTTGGAACTATCAAAATCTGAAGACGAGGAATATAGATGGGCTGTAACCTCCCGAGTGAGCCCTCCGAACCCTATTTCGCTTCAAAAAACTCTGCCACAACCAACAGGCTACCACCTAGACCACCAACAACACCCTTCAAAACCCTACAAATACATCCAAATACCCATATTCCCTTGCTCACCATCTCCCCCAAAAAGGCCTAAAAATTCCTTCTTTTCCCCCAAAACCTGCCCATCCTACCCCCAAGCCCATGCCCTTACCACAAGCCCTCCCCTTTTATGGGGTTTTGGGGTTTTGGGGTTTTGGGGTTTTGGGG